ACAGCCGCCGCCGGAGACCCGGGGAACCACCCTGGTGCATGAGACCATCAGCAACAACCCGGAGCCCCTGCCAGGTGAGGCACCAGGAGAGAGGCACCCTGCGCCCCCGCTGGGAGGGGGACAGTGCTGTGCTGAGCTGCACAGGCAGCACTCCCTGCTGACCCTGTCCCCTGCCTTCCCCACTGTTCGCAGCAAAGTACTTTGACACGAAGACAACGGAGCCCATCAGCTTCTCTTTGTCTGGCCTGGAGGAGCTGCTGTCCTGGCAGCCCAACAGCAACGACGAGTTCAACATCTCGGCGGTGCCGCTGGCCAAGCGCCAGCCCCCGCTCCACAGCAGGAGGCCTCGGACACTGGTGTGCCACGACATGCGTGGGGGGTACCTGGAGGACAGGTATGTGCTGGGCAGCAGGGAGATGTGGCAGTGGGGCTCAATATCTCAAACCCCAAACCACTTCTGTTTCTGCCCGATGTGTTTCCTGCTGGCTTGGCTGCAGGGATGGGGTGTTTGGCTCTTGGTGCCAGCACTCGGTGACCTTGCTCAGGCTGGGATGTTCAGAGGTGGCTCAGTGCCACAGCTCTGTCCTGCTCTCAGGTGTGAGTCAGGCTCCTGCCCAGCCCCGCAGCATCTGCCAGCGTCCTTCCTGCACTGCACAACCCTCTTCCCTCTCTGCAGGTTCATCCAGGGCTCGGCCACACGCAACCCTTTCGGCGCTACATCGACGTCTTCGTCTACTTCAGCCACCACAATGTCACCATCCCACCTGTGGTCTGGACCAATGCGGCTCACCGGAACGGTGTCTCCGTGCTGGGTGAGGGCAGGGCTGAGCCTGGGGCAGCCCCAGGCATGCAGCGGATTCACCGGAGCGTGAGGCTGATGCTGCCCTCACTGCCTCCCCAGGCACGTTCATCACGGAGTGGACGGACGGGCAGAAGTTCTGTGAGGCGTTCCTGGCCGGCGGGGAGGAGGCGTACGGCGCCGTGGCCGAGCAGCTGGCCCGCATCGCCCAGCACTACCGCTTTGATGGCTGGCTGGTCAACATAGAGAACACACTGAGTGTGAGTTGGGGTGGTCCTCCTGTCTCCCTGCCTTGCCCTGCCTTTGTGCTGCTCCCGTGCAGGGCCCCACACCCCTCGCCCACCTGTCCCTGCTCTCTCCTGCCAGGCGGCGGCGGTGGGGAACCTGCCTGCCTTCCTGCGGGACCTGACAGCACGGGTGCACAGTGCTGTGCCAGGGGGGCTGGTGATCTGGTATGACAGCGTCCTGCAGGATGGCACACTGAGGTGGCAGAACGAGCTGAATGAGCAGAACAGGTGAGGCTGGCAAAACTGGCCCTGGGTTGGGGGCATGAGCCTATCCCAAACCCGGTGCACGGGTGGTCAGGGCATGGCCAGTGCAGCCCTTGGTGGGGGGACAGCTGCAATGACCACTCTGCCACCTCTTCCCCAGGGTGTTCTTCGATGCCTGTGATGGGCTGTTCACCAACTACAACTGGAAGGAGGAACAACTGGAGAACAGCCGCAGCCTGGCTGGGTCGCGCCGCACTGACGTCTATGTTGGTGTCGATGTCTTTGCCCGCGGGGATGTGGTCGGTGGTGGCTTTGATACTGGCAAGGTGAGTGTGACAGGGCTGGGCCAGAGTGAGACCCTGGACCTTCCCCAGTGCAGGGCTCTGAGCTCCCACCGATGGTCATGCCATGTTGGGCTGCTAACCTGGGGGTGACCTGGTGAGGAGTGGGGATCCCAGAGCTGCTGGCTATGCCTGGAGAGGGAGCTGGAGGATCCCAGTGCTGCTATCCCTGGAGAGGGACATGCTGCATCACATCCCCATGGTGTCCTGCCCCAACACAGGGGCAGTGGGACCTGGGGGGAGTTGGGGACAGGACAGGTCACAAGGTGGCTACCTGGCCTGGCCCATGCTGCTCACATCACTGCTCATCTCTGCAGTCCCTGCGCCTGATCCGCCAGTATGGCCTCTCCGCAGCCATCTTCGCTCCCGGCTGGGTCTACGAGCACCTGGGGGAGGAAAACTTCCTGCAGAACGAGAACAGGTGAGGGCGGCTCAGCAGGGAGGGGTTGGGGAGAGGAGGGGGGCTGGGAGTGCCCTGGGCCAGGGGGGCAGTGAGCCAGGGCTGCCAGGACACCAGGGCTGCTGGGACACCGTGGCTGCTGGTCAGGACCTGACTAGCCCCACTCTGCCCCAGCTGAGCCGATCACCAAAGCTGTGCAGGGCAGTGATTATAGTAGGGGTCTCTCCTGACACCCACCTTTGCCTCCAGGTTCTGGGGCTCGCTGGCCGAGTACCTGCCCAGGCACAGCATCTGCCACACA